CACACCATGCAGGAGACCACCTAACAGTATAGGAGTGCTCAAAAGGTTCCATTTCAGGAGGTGGAGGCCAGTAGGGGATTTGAGTACGTGATGTCCTATGGGGATTCGCACCATGGGTCTGGCTCCATGATTCACCTGACGCATTACGTATGTTCATCTAATCTTCAGGACAAGGAGATATTGGCAATCTAAACAGTCAGGCAGAATACCCCCAGGACCTCAGGCAAGATCTCAGATCCATGAGGTGTTATCCCTTCTTTGTCAGCAATGAATGAGGGCCATGTTGTGCAGGCTCTCTTTGGAGATGAGCAGCTGTATTGGGTTTGCATGGCAAAGTTTTCATAGCAGGACAAGCCTCAGGGGTGGCTTCTGCGAGAAGATGCCAGAAGCTTCTCCCATGTCTGATAGAGCCAATGCCAGCCAGCTCCAATACAGACTGCTGGCAAAGCTGAGCCAATCAGCGATGCTAGTAGCGCCTCTGTGATAACGTATTTAAGAAGAAGAAAAGCCCACTGCATAACCACAGGTGGAAGAGAGGAGTGAGAATATGTGAGAGAAACAACTCTGCAGACACCAAGGTCAGTGAAGGAGGAGGGGGAGGAGGTGCTCCAGGCGCCAGAGCAGAGATTCCCCTGCAGCCCGTGATGAAGACCATGGTGAGGCAGGCCATCCCCCTGCAGCCCATGGATGTTAATGGTGGAGCAGATATCCACCTGCAGCCCGTGGAGGACCCCATGCCAGAGCAGATGGATGTGCCCAAAGGAGGCTGTGAGCTTGTGGAGAACCCACACTTGAGCAGGCTTCTGGCAGGACCTGTGACCTTGTGGAAAGAGAAGCCCAGGCTGGAGCAGGTTTTCTGGCAGAACTTGTGACCCTGCGGGGGAACCCATGCTGGAGCAGTCTGTTCCTGAAGGACTGCACCCCATGGAAGGGACGCACGCTGGAGCAGTTCATGAAGAACTGTAGCCTGTGGGAAGGACTCACGTTGGAGAAGTTTGTGGAGGACTGTCTCCCGTGAGAGGGATCCCATGCTGGAGCAGGGGAAGAGTGTGAGAAGTCTTCCCCTGAGGAGGAAGGAGCGGCAGAGACGTGTGATGAACTGACCGCAACCCCCATTCCCTGTCTCCATGCGCTGCTGTGGGGGAGGAGGTAGAGAAATCAGGAGTAAAGCTAAGACCGGGAAGAAGGGAGGGGTGGGGGGGAGGTGTTTTAAGAGTTAGTTTTTATTTTCTCATTACCTTACTCTGATTTGATTGGTAATAAATTAAACTAATTTCCCCCAAGTCAAATCTGTTTTGTCTGTGACAGTAATTGGTGAGTGATCTCTCTCTGCCCTTACTTCGACCTGCGAGCCTTTCGTTATATTTTCTCTCCCCTGTCCAGCCGAGGAGGGGAGTGATGGAACGGCTTTGGTGGGCACCTGGCATCCAGCCAGGGTCAACCCACCACAGGAGCACAGGAAAAGAGCAAGAAGGAAGGAGCAGCAGAGAGGAAACGGCTACAACCTGACCACATCCCCCTGCCATCACCTGTTGCTTCACCAAGGGGACTGAGTGTAACTGCAGTGATAACAAGGAGGAGGAGAGGTGCTGGGAATGATGTTAAGCCTGGCAAAGGGGAGGAGAGGTGCTTCCCCCAGGTGTGAAAATGCTTGGGGCTTTTTCTTTGTTGCCAGTACAGTACTGAATCGGTACTCAAATATTTATATTCTATTAATTGACAATAAATTAAATTCCCCAAGTCGAGTCTGTTTTGCCCATGACAGTAATTACCAAGTGACCTCCCCATCTTTTTCTTGACCCACAAGATAGCGATGGGGGGAGACTGGGGACAAACAAACAGGCAGTTGGACAGGTTCTTGCTGGGTGGGTGGGACAATGAGAATCTCACCTAGGTATCTCATGGCAGGTTTCTGCTGTGGTGTTCAGGAACCTGCTCACCCTCCCATGAGCTTGCCTGGGCAGGATGTGAGCTGGTGGTCCCATGACATGACATCAGGTCAGGAATCCCATTAGGCTGTCCGTCCATCACACCACTGGCTGAGAGGCATCTGGTCCACTCCAGTGTCAAACACAATACGCTATGTCATTATTTTTCTTGCTTATAATTAGTTTTAAGCCAAGGCTTTGCTACAGCTAATGAAAGGCGAGCTGGGGGTCACCCACATCCCAGCACACAGCAGGAAGCTTGGGCAAAAAAATATAGGTTGGAGGCAGGCTTCCTACAGTCCTGGGCATGAGTGACTGCAGAAGGACAGTGGGACACCTCTTGAGTGAAGCTGGTGGGTAGGAGACCATGAAGGACACAAGAAGAGAATAGAGGCTGCTGTGGTGCTACAGGTGGGTTGTTTACCGGCAGATTGGAGAACCTGGGAGGGCTCCAAGTGGTAGCTAGGTGATGCTCTCCTGAGGGGCTGCAGCTGTGCAACTGCTCCAGTGAGGCAGGGGAGGCTTGGCATGATCATAGAATTGTAGAATCATAGAATCATTTAGGTTGGAAAAGACCTTTAAGATCACCAAGTCCAACCGTTAACCTAGCACTGCCAAGTCCACCACTAAACCATGTCCCTAAGCACCACATCTACATGTCTTTGAAATACCTCCAGGGATGGGGACTTAACCACTTCCCTGAGCAGCCTGTTCCAGTGCCTGACTACCCTTTCAGTGAAGAAATTTTTCCTAATATCCAACCTAAACCTCCCCTGGTGCAACTTGAGGCCATGATCTGAACGATCATATGCCTCCTTGAAAACTCCCTCCTAGCTTGGTCCTGCTCTCCTGAAGGATGAAGGGCCCTAGCATTGGGGCATTTGATGGGGAGCATCAGGTTTTGAAGGCGATGCTTGGGGCAAACTAGTTGTAGGACGTTTGTTTTTGACCCACCAAAACCAATGTTCGAATAGCTGAGAAAACACCAACTCCGAAGGCTCAAAAGCCAGGCTGTAAGTGGAAAACAAATGCTCCTTTATTGGTCTAAGATCTGCAGGCTTCGGAGGCCAATGCATGGATTTTGTGTTTGCTGCGTGGGGGATGCTGGGTCTCTATTACTGAAGCACATCATTCCCAGCTGGCAACACCTGGGCAATTGCTGCTAGCAAACCCAGGAGTGGCATACAGGGGGCAAGAGGGGGGTCTGGTGAGCAGTTGGGCAGACAGGCAACACTGCATATAACTTGCAGGCTATTTTTATTTTAAGCAGTGTGAATGCTGGTTGTGCCCACAACAGGGCCTGCACCCCAAGGTTAAGCTCAGAGAAGGAGTGATGACCCCATCACACAGCATTTCTGCAGTACCTATCTCTTTTTCACCTCCCAGAGTTATCAGCCTGTCCCAAGCAGGACCTGGGGATCTCGTGATGCCCCCAGCTGTCTGCTACATGGGTGGCTCCAGCTCTCACCTGGCTTGGGACATCCTGTGACATTGGCAGTGGGTTTGCAGCACCATACTATCTCCTAAGAAGCATCTCCAGGCCTGGGGCTGGGCAGAAGGCAGCGCTGTGCCATAATGCGAGTGGGCCAGGTCATCTGTGCCTGCATGCCCCACATCTGCCCTGGGATGGAGACCAGCCATTCTCTCCCGCAGCTCCCCAGAAAAGGGTTTAGGACTGCCACTGCCTTTCCCTTGCTCATGAGTAAGCTCCTGCAGGAGCAATAGGTTCATAACCACTATCTGGGCTTCAAGCCATCTTTGAAGTGATAGGGAGCAAGGTGGGAAGGTCTCCTACCATGGCTTTCTCCTCTCTACTGGTCATCAGCATGTTCAGATGCTGGATCGTCCCTTGGCTTGGCGTGAAATGGCTCTGGGCTCCTGTCACTCTTGGGAGAAGGGCTCTCTCCACCCTGCAGGAGCTCAAAGGTTCAAGTCGAATTTAGCATCAGAAGCACGGGGGGGAAAAGCTTATGGTTTCATTTATGGCATCACTCTGGGATCTGCTGCCAGGTTTAGCTCGGCCTGGGGACATCCCCAGGGGTGGCCAGGGGACATAGGGTATGTCTATGAGCAGCACTTCCAGAAGGTACAGAACCAGAGCCTGTTCATGGAGCTGTGCTTCATCACCCATTTTGGGCAGCCCCTGTTTGCGCCTTTCTTCAGCTCTCCTGCACAATGGAGGACCCTGGGGCTGTACCTCTGCCCATGTGAGTGCTTAACTGCCTGCACAAGGTGAAGATGCACAAAGCATTCATCACAAAGCAGGCATGTAAACAGGCTGAGTCTAATGGTTAGCACCTGCACATGAGGGACAGCAGAAGGTCCAGACAAAGTTAATGAGCCTGTAGTAAATCCTTTGGTCCCCCAAAGCAGGGACACTGCTTGAAACAGAAATCCCAGCAATGCCATGAGCAAGATGCTTTTTGTTTTCAGGAGGGTTTGCTGGTAATCCCTCCAGCAAAGGGGGTTATAAAGATGCTCCAGTAGTGAGTGGTGTAATCAGCGCATCCAAGCTTGTAATTTTGTCATGCAGCAGTTAGGGTCTCCTTCAGTAAGCAAAGGTTGCAGAGACTGAATCCAATTCCCTCCTGGTTGTTGACAGTGAGGAGCTTCCCTCCATCCCCACCAAGCTGCTCCCACTCCCCATTCTTCCTGCACAAGCCCTGGGGCCTGCCCACTCCCACAGAAAAGCCTGAGCTAGTGTGTGCAAAGAACCAGTTTTATTCACAGGGCCACTTCAGACATCAAGAAAGCAGAAAACATACAGGAAATATACAGGGAGGCTCTGCTTTTCATACAAGCAATCACTATTAACAATATTACAGAAAGAATAAATGAAAGTGATGTTGCTACAGTAACCTACAAGGACGATGCTCTCCTCCGTTTGCCATGCATGGCTGAGCCTGCAGACCTCATCCTCCACAGCCATGCTGCTTCAGTTTGAAAAATACTTCTCCAGCACCTTTGTTAAAAGTCCTGTCTCCTACAAGAAAAGGCACAATAGTGAGACACTGGGTCCCATACACAGCCTCCACCATCACCTGCTGGGTACCATGGGGCAGAAGATTAGAAAAATGTCCCATGCTGGATCATGATGGCACTTTCAGGGTCAGGGGTGGCTTGGGACAGCACATGAGAAGGGAAGAGCCAGGCTCCTGCCTCCCATCCTGTGCTCTAACAGCTGGCCCACAGCTGAGAGACATCAGAAGTAAACTTCACCAGCCCACTGAGACAGCAGCCACTGGGTTGGGCTTCAGGAACAAGAGCAGCCTCAGGGCCTGATTCAGCACAGAACTATACGAGAAGGCAAAGAGAGTCACAAAACACAGCAGGGAAGAGTTACAGAGAGATTTTGTGGGATTGTGTACTGCCCAGACGTCCCAGAGCTATGCAGGGCAGCATTTGCCTTCACACAGAAGGGCTCTCCCTACACCCCTGGAGCCATTTCACTCCACACAGATGGTCTCACCCTGCCTGTCTCCTGCAGAAACACTGCCACACACCCAAGAAGATGACAAAGGATGGGGACGATCCTCCTTTGCCAGGCAAATCCTTGTCACACACAGCAACAGGGTAGCACTGTGAAGCCCCAGCGTGCTGAGAGCCAAGCCCTGCCTGCCACACGTGGTTAAAAAGACAAAACAGAAATCCCTGTTTGCAAACCCCTTCTGCTCTGTGCAACTTCTGTCATCACAAGCACGGAGCAGCACATGGGCTCCTGCTTTACAAAGGGATGGGAAACATCTTAATACAAAATCCAATGGCAGCAGGCAGGACTAACCCACGTGAAGGGAAAGCAAGCAAAAAGACTAAGCCCTGGGATTTATTTAATGCTTAGAGGGGCCCCAAAAGAAGGAAGAACCCATTTTTGAATGATCAGTGACACCCTCAGAAAAGGAAAAGCCCATTGGGTTTTTCAATAAAAGTCACGTTCCCTTGATACTTATCCTGCCCCAAAGCACAGCATGTGTGCTGCAGCAGCAGAGCAACACTTAGAGAGCATGTTAATTCCTGCCTTGCTGACCAGGGGGTCCCAAGGAAGGGAGAAGCATCTTTGTTTTTCTAAACTGAGTTGAGATGGAAGCAACAGATCCTAAGCAGGGGGTGGACAGAGTTTCACGGAGCAGAGCTATTAAACAGTTTGTTATGCAGGTGGCAAACACAGCACACAGATCAGTTCAAGCACAGACTAGGTGCTGACCTCAGGTGTCCAACAACAGTCACACTGAGGGAGAAAATTGTCAGGGTGGCAGGAATTCACATTGGCACCGTGTCACCCACAAGAGCAAGAAAAAAATAAGGTCCCACAGAAAAGTATAACACAGACAGCACTCAAAGGCACCAGGGAGAAGTAAGTCCTGTATTATCAACCAGTGGCTAGCAGGCAAGGATGTCCTGGGGGACAGGTGGCAAAGAAAGGAGCAGGAAGGCAGGAGTTGAGTCTAGCAAGGTGCTCAGAGGTGCGTGAAGGACAGAACCAGACCTATCACCCAGCAAGGTCCCACTGCCACCAAGAGGACAGCTGGCACACCAGGGCACTGGCCAAGGAGAGGAGAGGCTTCTGGAGCAGAAGGTGAGGGGTAGGAGCCAGCCGCGTATCAGGAACCTAAGCTGTGATGTCACACGTGTGCATCCCACCTCCGGCCAGAGAGGCATCGAGGCAGCTCAGAGGCAGGCAGCTGGCCAGCATCTGCTTTGACCATGAGCCAAATCACCCTCCAGCAGCAGAGCTTTGACACCCAGCACACACACGCCAAAGTGGTGGGTGGTACCCCTGGCCAGGACCTGCCTTTGAGCACTGGGAATGAGCACTGACAGGGCTGGCAGGGCACCGGCACCCAGCTGGCAGCATAAGACACAGCACCAGCACTCGGGGCAGCCTCTGCCCAAGCACATCTGCAGCATGAGCAGTGAACGTGTGACTTACCTACACAGAGGAGAGCCACAAGGATCACTTTTATCAAACTCACACCACACACTCACAAACATCTTAGTGGATGAGGCAGGGCAACACATCCACCAGCTCTCCCATCATCTCAGGCAGTTAATGCAGCAAATACCCTCCTCCTCAAAGGCTCCCCAGGGAGGATGGAGAAGGGTCCAGGACCTTCACAGCCCTCTCCTCCCTTTCAGCTGCATCCAAAAAGCAAAAGCTGCAGCAGCGCAGTGGTCACGGCACACAGCATCTTAAGGGCAGTAGGGTGGGCTGATGTCTTCAGCCATGCCCAGCTGTATCTTCATGGTGGAAAGCCCTCTATCCTGATGGGACTAGCTCTCTAGGAAAGCCTCAATTTACCTTAGTCTGCTGAAAGTGAGTCAAGAAGGTAATCGAAAAATCAGTGCCACTCAGGCTCACATCCCTGCAACTCTGCTCCACCTGTGCTCTCCCAAAAAAAAGCAAAGAATAGGAACAAGCACTACTTAACCATGGATAACAGAAGTAGCTTTACCTGTGTGCAGTGTTACTGGATAGCTCCTCAAGTACAGCAGCTCAGTGGGACAGCACATATAGGACCCACCTAAGAGGATTTCATCCCTTTTAGGCTCTCAGTTACTTTCTGCAGTGACTAGAAAGGGCAAGACACCAGGAAAGCACACGAGGCAACAGACAAGCCACAGGGACTGAGCAATTCCGTCTCCACATCCTGCGTGAGGATCTGTGTGTGTGTGCATATTGCTCCCAGGGGCAGGTTTTCCACTAGGAGTTGGGTGAGCTCTGAGGCAAAAGCCACACCAAGGAGGCTGAAGATCTGCTGATGCACAGCAGGACTACCGGAGCTCCTGCCTGCTCCCTGAGACCCGCTCTCCAGCAGTACAACTAATGCACACCTCCCCTATGCAAGGCAAGCTAACAAAGCTACGTGCCCCTCGGTAATGAGGGATCCCAACCACAGCAACACATACCCAAGATGGGGGCATCAGAAGCCCAAGACCTCTTTGCAGGACCTCTCTGTATCCTTCTTGGCCTCTCTCTATAGAAATAGAGGGGAGAAAGGATTTCCCTGTCTCTGCAATGGCTGGAAAAGGGGACATTTCTTCACAGCAGCCACAGTGGCCAGCCATCCTCTTCTGCATTGGGCCGAGGAAGACCCAGATGCTTATGAACAACCCCTGGGCTGGAAATCACCACTATGACAGCTCCATCACAGCATCCCTTGCTCATCCTCATGCCCTTCCCAAGCATCTGGGGCTACTAGCCACTGTCCAGCTAGACACAAGTCTAAAGAGACTTCTCCTCTGCCCCTTTATGGCTGGTCTTAGGAAGTGGTTTAAGGAGGGTTAACAGGAGCAGAAGGGGGGAATACACCTCTAGCAGCCGTGCAGATGCTCCCATCTCCAGCAAGGCTGGCTGTTGCAGATTAACATCTCCATCACCTCCCTGTTCTGAGCACCTCCCTCCATCTTAGTCAATATTCACCTGGTCAGTGAGGTCATATTTTCCTTGGTTCTCATCCAAAAGTCTTTCTTGCAAGAGGATTTTCAGGAGCTCACGGGTAAGCAGTTCCATCATGTCCTCCAGCAAGGCTCTGAGAGAGGGACCGAAGACCATTGGCACTGCAGGCTCCTCCGGTGACTCCAGGTGGGGGGAGCCCGTGACACTCTTCTTCCCCATGAAGTGACCTGCAATACAATGCACTTGTGTGTCTGCACAAACGCCTGAAGGGAGAGAGGCAGGTGCTCCGGCCGAACAAGGCAAAGCTGTGTCCGCGTGAGGTGGCAGATAACAAGTCAATGAGAACCACTGAGCAAACCTAATGCTTAAATGAGTGAGTACAACAAAGTGAGGAGAAACCCAGAAATCCCAGGTCCTCCTTCCACACGGGACTTCGGGAAATTTCCCTCCTGCTGATGGGATTTCTGGGGTTAAAGAGGTGCTGGACCTGTCACCAGGAGTTCTCCTTGGTTCTCGTGCCCACCACGGGCCCTGTGGGGGCCGCAACCCTCCCAGCATCCTGGTCTGCTCCATGGGGTGCCAAGGGGAGCAGAGGGCTCCCCACAGGCAGGCACGGGGCAGGGGGAGGCAGAGGCTCAGGGCTGAGCTGGGCAGCCTGCGTCCCACAGCTGCTCCACGACACGCCTGTCCGTGTCCCCGTCGTCTCCCCCCACACACACCCCCACCCCGGTACCTGTAGCCCAGAGGTTGCCGCGGGGGTTGACCTTGATCTTGGCCGCCTGGCTGCGGTGCTCGGCGAAGTCGAGGTGGACGGCGGGCCCCAGCGCAGCCGGGGCCGAGGCAGGCACCGCCCCCCCCGCCCCCGGGCTTCCCGCCTTCCCTCAGAGGCCCCTCAGCCCGTCCCGCTGCCCGCGGCCCTCTGTCAGGGTTCGGACAAACCCCCGCTTGCTGCCCACGTCCAGGTGGGGCGCGACCCGTTAGCCACAACCCTGGGAGCCCCACAGGCTCCTCACCCCTCTGCTGGTGCCCCCCATCCTGCACCATGTCACCCCACCACCTGGATGTGGTGGGAAACGGTGCCAGATCTACCGCTGAGGTGAGCAGCATCACTGCTCTGCCCTTGCCCACAAATCCCATGGTCCCATCACAGGAGGTGATCAGGGTGGGTTTACCCGTGCTCAGCCCAGGCTGCCTGTGCCCCATTACCTCCCGCTTCTCCTTCTGCCCAGGAACATGCTCCAGCAGGACTTGCTCCACGATTTTACAAGTGGCCTTGCAAGGACATCAGCCAGCACCCATGGCGGCCTCTCAGCACCCTTGCACAAAGCCTCTCTGGGCTCACAGATGTTTATGGGTCAGGCTCTCCAAGTAATAATCACCCTGACTGACACCCAATCCACTGTTTGTTATTCTCTCTGAACCCTGCCTCCAGGTACACAGCCTGGGAGACCTTGTTGGTCAAGACTGAGGCATAGAGTACCTCAGCTTTGTCTGTGTCCACTACCATTTGCCCAGGTCAGCAATGGTGCCTTTGTGAATACTTTCCTTCTTCAGCTTTCTACAACTGAAGGAGTTTGTTGAGATATGCAAGGAACATAAAGTAGTACTACTTTAGTTGTAGAAGATCTGATGTTCCTAGCACATCTCAACAAACCGAGCTTTGTCTTTCCTAAAATTGGTCCTACAAGCCCAGGTAACATTTCCATATTTCTCCTAATGGTCTGTCTGTGCTTCCACCTCCTTCATACTGTCTTTTTGCACTGGACCTCAGTCATGAACTTCATTCCCAGTTTAGCCAGACCCATCTCCCAGTACATCTACTTGTGTACCTGATTATTGGGATGGACTTGGAAGATCCTGTCCTTAAAGACCTGCCAGCTCTGCTGAGCATCTTCACCCTTCAGAGCTGCCTCCCATGGGATCCCTGAATAGGGTGAAGTCCAGAGCCTGTATATCACTACTCACCTTTTCCACTCCCTTCAGGATCTTTCAGACCACTATTTCCTGATTACTACACCCAGACCTGCCACTGATCATCACATTCCCAGTGAATGAACATCAATTCCTCCATTTCCATTAATGGGAGCTATGCATGCCCAGCAACAGCATGGATGGAGCTGTGCCCAGCCATGCCATAGACAGAGATAATGAGAGCCTGGGACATGGACTGTTTATGCCTATGGCTCAAGTAAAGTGAAGGCCATGTGTCATGGTTTAACCCCAGCCCGCAACTAAGTGCCACACAACCTCTCACTCTCCCCCAACAGGATGGGGGAGAGAATCAGAAGAGTAAAAGTGAGAAACCTCATGGGTTGAGATAAAGACAGTTTAATAGGTAAAGCAAAAGCCATGCAGACAAGCAAAGCAAGGAATTCATTCACTACTTCCCATCAGCAGGCAGGTGTTCAGCCATCTCCAGGAAAGCAGGGCTCCATCATATGTAATGGTTACTTGGGAAGACAAATGCTGCCACTCTGAATGTCCCTACCTTCGTTGCCCCCAGCTCTTTTTATTGCTGATCATGATGTCATATGGTGTGGAATAGCCCTTTGGCCAGTCTGGGTCAGCTGTGCTTCCTCCCAGCTTCTTGTGCACCTGGCAGAGCATGGAAAGCTGAAAAGTCCTTGACTAGTATAAACACTACTCAGCAATGACCAAAACATCAGTGTGTTGTCAACATTATTCTCACCCTAAATACAAAACACAGCACTATACCAGCTACTAAGAAGAAAATTAACACTATCCCAGCTGAAACCAGGACACCATGTAAAACTGGAAACATTTGATCAGAGGGCCCTGAGACACAGGTTGTGCTCTGTTTCTTCTTGTCACCTGCCTGCAGGCCACAGGGGCTTACAGGCTTCCCCAGGTCCCACATTTATACAGGGGTGCTCTCAGGGGTTGTACAGCTACAGGACAAACCTGTGTGCCTGAAATGGTAAAGAAAAGATGAGTAAGAGTGTCCAGAAATCTCACCCAGCATGCTGGGCTTTGAGTTATCTCCATTTTCTGTCATATACACAGACTGCTGTCAGGAAGCAGAAGATCTGAAGGGTCAGGGGCCAACCAGGATCAGGTGGCCAGCAATGCAGCTCTCTCACCAACCACAGTACCTGAGAGGCAAGCAGCACAGACTCAGAGATGGTCACTAGGTTGAGAGAGAGTCCCGATCATCAGGCACATTCATGGTGATGAGGCAGCTCCCAGCACAAGATGCAGGTCAGGATGAGGTCTGGCGAGGGTAACCAGGATCAGGCACATTCTGGACACGTCCATAGTGGCGAGGTAGGTCCGAGAACAGGTCAAGAAGTCAGTCTGTAGCCAGGCACTGCTCAGCTAGACACCACTGCTCCTACAGCGTAGATCAAGAAACAACTAAAGGCCCAGGGCTGAGTTTAAATGGGTTCCTGGGCCCGTGGGGGTGGAGGGTGGAGGCCCCACGTGAGACCCATTACGGCCTGTTAGTGTCCTCAGGGCCCTGACAGCTTCTGCCAAGTATGCAGCTCTATGACTTTGCAAGGAGGTGCTAGCTGGTGGGGGAGGAAGTGCCTGAGATGACCCAATTCTCCTGGAAACTGGAAGGGAGGATTTATTAGCAATGCCCTTCTCAGCATTTACCACTGTTCAAAAGAAAAGGACTAGAGGTGATATGTTCCTTTTCAACAGCAGGGGGTTAGAGTCTGAACTGCAAACACAGCTCTAATGTTATGGGGAGGAAAAAAACTAAAAAGTACTCCTGCTTTAGACATGCATCCTTCCAAACTGTGCGTCCGTCCCCATGGGCGGCCAGCTGGCCGGTCAGCATGTGCTCCCTTACTGTCTGGGAGGTGTGCCAAGCTCATGGCCAACTAGGAGATGTAACCTTCTAGTTGGTCCACCACCCATCAGGGAGGTGGCTGTGTCTGCTAGCCTTGTGTCTACGTGTGCTGGAGGTCCTGGGCTGCAAGAGGGAACCTGGCTCTGCTTTCTCACCACGCACCTTCCCTGACTGTGTTCAGCAG